AGTCTCTTACGTGATGTTGGTACTGGAAGTGACTGTTTTTAATCGTGAATCATTCGGTGATTCATGTGTGACTCACCTAATGGTAATCCGGCAAAGTCAGACCTCATCAGCATTATTATGACATTATTTAATTTACATCTTATGAATGCTGTAAAAGGAGTTAATAGAAAACGTTACTGAGAAGCTAAGACACATATTTTTGCTGGATGACCTCATGTAGGGAGGCCTGAGTTTTCCAAACTTTTCTCCTGGTCTTATCTTTCACTTCCCCTTAACTCGAACAAACCCACATGCCCTTTCTATCTGGGGAAATAGGACTTTGTATCGCTTTTAGTAGACATGATGCGCTTGAGCTGAGTGATATTGTCAGATGGCCTCTGTGTTGTGATACAGGTGTACCCAAGAATTTACTGTAGAGGCTGCTGAGGACGCTGTCCTGAATGGACAGAAACAAGGCATAAAGACACATATGCATGTGTATACGAATAAATGTATGTTTATAAGGCCCTGGGATGGACTGGTGACCTGTCTAGGGTCCCCCAACAAAATTACCTGTATTACTTCCCTTTATTTATGCTCAACGTTACCTTCTATTTTCTCCGGGTGGTTCCCGTTTTTGAGATGCAAGTTTCCTTTTTGGTTGATGACGATGATGATGATGTCTGTAAGATTGTGTGCTCACTTTCCATTACGCGAAAGGATATGAACAAATCCGATACATTTCACTTCCCCTTAACAGCCAAGTCACAGAACATTATTTCTTGGTAAAAAATACATTTTGATGTTTTATGGATTATTGATAAGAAGTAAGATGATTAAATAAATGCAGCTCTGGCCGCATATGATCCATTTGGATGGACTTGGTTTACCTGGTCTTCATTTGTGTTTAATGAGATTAACCGATATAGAAGGTGTATCCTGTTCTCCTTTGTTCCATCAAACTTGTCTGTTTTAATGGCTGCACGGACTGCAACAAACCCGGTGTTTATTTAGTGATTCCTTATCCAGACTCATGAATTACTCATGAAAGATGGACGATTTGTCCACTTGTAATTGCTCACCATTTAAATGTAAACTTGAGGTAATTTGTCAACTGAGCACAGATTCTCAGCCTCTTTGCTTGAAACTCTGTGTATTTCACACCCTCCGCCTAAATATCCGTAAGCTGGCCAGGGGTGCTCTGTATGTTTCTGTGGTGTAGATAAGCTCTGCTGTACAGTGTGGGCAGCTTTGTATTTAAGGTGATTGCAATGCGATTGGTCGCCCACAAAGTGCTATTAAAAAATCACCTAAGTGATTTCCACGTGCTCTCCTTTTTCAGACCTGCCCTCCCTCTCACCCAGAAAATTATAGGATACATTGATCCAAAGGTCTTATTAGTGCCGCATGCGCCTACAAAATTCAGAGTGGTGGTTTCAGTGAGTCAGAAGTAGGGCAGAATTGCTCCAGACAGAGCTAATGCCAGAGAATGTCTTCCAGGCATGTGGTGATTGTCACAGTAACAGCAGTGATTTTCTGTGCTTGGTGTTTACTTTTTTGTCTCTTTTCTTTTTTTCTTATTTATTATTAAGAGGCAAGATTCTTGGGATTTCTTGAGGCTTCTTTGGAAACTATAGAGTGACACAAAAGACATGAGGCATGGTATTGATTTGTGTTTTCTTTAATTGTTTTTGTTTACATTTTTGGCTCTGTATTTTAAAAAGAAAATATATCTCTTAACAATAATGGAAACATAATGTCCATTTAGGATTTGTATATATTCACAGAAATATATATGTACATATTCAATTAATCCTGTAACCACTATATATGCTGAACTGTCATGCCATCCAAATATGTAAGGAGTTGTGTCATAATACTGTAATTATGTTTCAAATACAGTAGTTACCACACTTGGATTACTGTTTTTGTTTTTGTTTTTCTTCCTGCATTTATATAAATGATCAGTAGGGGTCACAGTTGACCTGTTTTTAAACGTTTTTTTTTTTTTTAACAAAATGATTAAATAGTAAAAAGAATTGCCCACCAAACTCAACATATATTTAATCATAAAAGCAAACACACAAGCTTCTCGTATAACGATGTGTAATTTAATTATTTAAATCCATACTCTGGCTCTAGGACTCACATTCTCTACAATAGATTATTTCCATCCTGAAGATCAGATAAAATAAGTGCAAGCCATCTTTGTCTTTGAGGGTATTTTTTCAGGTTTTGGGAAAATGAACTGGAAGTGTTTGCAGACTTTTTAAAAAAGGAACACATAGTGAATAAGTAAGATTATGTTCCATGTCCATATCATAAGTAAATGCAGAAATATTTAAGTCTAAAGTGAGTTTTAACTCGCAATATCCAACTATATGTTCACCACATCAAATAAAGGAAGGAGGCTCTCTGACACTGCAGAGCTGTTAAACAGAATACTGTCTTGAGTCTACAATAATCAGTATGCAATTATTTTTTCTAGTTGTCTACATTTCTGCCAGGAACTGATGAAAGCTGTTAACTAATATTTTGGGTTCACATCGTACTATTTTACTTGAAGTTGCTAAGCATTCATGTAACTTTAACAGAAAAATGAAGCGCAATTACAAGACATAAAGACCTTTTCAGATCCAAACAGACGTGTGTGAACAAAGCATCAAAAGCTGTCCCCTGAGGAATGCTCATAGTAAATGAAACGGGGGACAGACTGCATCCTCTAACTTGCTTGAACAGTAGCCTGTTTGATCCAGATGCAGAATTATGTTGATTAGGTGACTGGATAAACACCATATCAGCGTCACAGTCATTTGAGGGTCAGCTCTGTGTGAGGATCACAAAGCTGTAGACGACAGTTCACTGCGAGTGTTGATATCATGCCCTGATCCTCCCATCGAAAGGTCAAACAGCTCTCTGGTTTCATTAGTTCTGGGTTCTTAAAGGCAGATGTACAATAGTGCTCCGGGCAGCAGATGAACTGGTGGCCATGAATTGAAACTTTGTGTGGACGGACCTCATTTCACACAGGCTGCATTGTTGGTTGTTGAGTGTCTGACACACAACTGGAGCATTCATGGGTCACAGCTTGAGGATGTCATGCTGAGCTGGAGCATTATCTTTGAAATGGGGTCTCAATATTAGAGGTGGGTCCTAAATCCTGAGTTTATTCCAGTCAGAGCTTTCTCTACCTCTACCTGGCCTCACGTTGGCTCTGAAAGCTGCATTGCTCCCGGCCCTGCTGTAGTCAAAAACAGGCAGAGACAAGCTCGACCTTTTCCAGTCTGGCAGCGGCGGAGCGTTTCAGGTGTTGCACAAAACTTCTCCGACTTCTTCGCTGTGGAAGCTCTCACTGTTTTCACCAAGTCATATCTGAACAGAGGGAACAGCGACCACCAATGTGTTGACGGCTGAAATTTATATGTAGAATTCACAAGTCTTTTATTTTTCAAACTTTCAAAGTTGTGCCAGGAAGATTGTGTTGGAAATCCTCAGCAGGGGTTGGTGGAACCAGTTTTGCTAACTCAACAAAAACCTACGACAAGTAAAAGTGGTGCCTCTGGATTGATCTGAATCTTAGCATCCTTGATGAAATTATAAGGGGAATGGTGCAGTTACTATAGAAACCACTTAGATAGATAGGGCAAGAAAATGTGGCTAAACTCTTTACTTGTTGCTGGTTTGTTCTCCATCTGACCCAAATATTCCTTCACTTCTGTGACAGACTGTTCTGTGTTTGTGTATATATATGTATATACCCGGAGCGTATTGAGGACCCAGAACGCTCGGCTACACTTCTGTAAAGTTCAACCTGTTTCTCAGAGCAAATGCAAATTAGCTGTACGGCCCAAATTCTCAACCTGGATCCAGACCGCTTTCAGACTGTCTGACCTGGCTTTACTGAAACTTTCAGTGGGGTTTTTCAGCCACTCAGCAGTCCGCTCCCTTTGCTGTGATATCACAAATGGCATCTTATGGATCAGTTAAAAATAGAAACACAATTTGTCTGTGGAAGGAGGATTCAGAGAGTTTATTTTATTTGCAATGGCACTGTTCAGCTCTTATCCTCAACAGGTGCTCAGAAGGGGTTTCACACCCTGACTGTTCCTCACAGGTGCTGCTGCTATTTTCTGTCCCACGTTTGACATTTGTTTCTGCGGGGAAGTTTTCACTGCACACGTCTGCTCTCTGCGGATGTGGTGCATCAAAAACACAAACCTGGCATAGGCACGCTCAGCAGCAGCAGCAGCGAACTGCTGTGTCTGTGTGTCAATCACACACTCCCTGCCCCCACCCGACACAGGACGTGAGTGTGTGTGTGTGTGTGTGTGAGAGAGAGAGAGAGAGAGCCCGAAGGCTACGGGGGTGGCAGCGCGGGGGCGTCGTCCGTGGTTAACTGCAGTTTCGCTCAATAAAAACGAGCTGAAACCAGACCGGTACCGGAAATGGAATAGCTTTAACTTCACATGAAAAGTCTCACCAATAACGGGGTTTTAGTCTCAGTTTATGTTTTAACATAGCAAATGTAGAAATAAAAAACATGATCACACCATTATGAGTTTACCTGAAGATGCTCAAACTGACTTTATTTGAAATAAATTAATGAGTGTATTACTAGGTGGGCAGGGCTGTGCAGAAACATGAGCCAATTATAGGACGGGTCAGGCAAAATACACGTCTTGTCCAGCCTGTTAAGTGAACAACAACATAACACTGCTGTCTCCAAGTAAGATGTGGAGTCAGTAGCATTGGAATAACATCTGCGCTTTGATTCATTTGACTTTGAAACACTTAAAGACTCATCAGGCCCATTTTACGGGTAGAAGAGTCAATCCAGTGGGGAAGAAGGAAAACAAACACACTGACAAACACATATTTGTCAATTCTACCCTCCCTGACAGCATGTGATCTTATTGTTCTTGTATTTAATGCTGAGTTTCAGGCTCGTTGGCGTCTCGCTCAGGCATGTCCTTTATTATGAAACTTGAAGGCGGAAGCACTCTCCTTGAATCCCGTCTCACTTGACAGGATCTTGCGTTCCATACGAGGGAAGGCTGATTAAACTGCCTCCAAGCCTTTAACACCACTCCCAGAGCAGTCAGTAGAAGTCCCTCACCGAGTCACTTCTGACTGCCAGCGCTTTGTTAACCTCACGTTAAAACTTGAAAGGTCTCTAAAACCATCGCCATCGTCAGAAGGCAAAGTTTTGACTCGTGGAAAGCTCCAGAAACTTAATTGTCGGGCCGGTGAGACGCAGTCAGCATGGTGTTGAAATCCGAAGACGGAGTGGGTGAGTAGATTTGTCGATTAAAGAAACGTCCCCACTTCGACCAGTATGTGGCAGACGACTTCCGGGCGTTGAATAACATTAAGTTTATGTTTACTTTCTTGTTTGCCGTAAAGCGGACCACATTTCGACGTCTCGCTCGCTCCCGTCTGGCCTTGTTTACTGTGTCAGGATTACGGTCGCCGCTTCGTTCTTCGGGTCACCTTTGCCCTTTTCCTCTAAATTCTACACACGCTACGCTGTGCAGACACTGATTTATTACCTTCTTACTTCGTGTCTGAGCGGCCTATCCCAATGAAACCTGGTTTGAGCACTCGTTTTAGAATGTTTTAACTCTCACGAGAACATATATGGCGTTTTTTCTTCCTAGCACCGAGCAACAGGTGACTCCGGAAGACTGAACGCCCCTATTGAAACGACATAGTTATAACCTCACGAGCTAATGTGTGCTTCACTTCTGTTAATTAGTGTCGAAAATGAGCGTGTTACCGCGTGGTAACAAAGTTTGTGGCTCCTCTGGTGAGCAACAGGAGGGTTTCTTATTGCTGGCATGCATCTCCTTGGCTGGGTTAGCCTGCCAGCACTAGTTGGCACCCCTGACTTGCGTCAGTGTTAATAAGGTTGGGTAACAGGGAACGTCTGGCTGCCTTATTCTGTTGTAAGCTCCTTGCTTCTTTGTTCTGCTGAACTTCTTTTCCCCCAGTGGTCCCGGCTTAGGCTGCTTGGCACACAGCTGCCCGTTTTTTACAGGCTGGGAGCAGTCGATTCTTTTGGAGTCCATTTGTCTCTGTCACTTAGAGGTTGGGTGGTCTGGGAAGTTAAAGCAGTTGTCAGTAATGGTTCCCTAATGAGGGGTGCTGAAAGCTCTAATGGCTCCAGTTGTAGGGGTGCACCCTGCCTGGCACTAATGCCCTGGTAGTTTGATAATCGCCATCATCTCCATGTAATCGCATTTTAGCTTTCTTTCTGCATCAGCTGCAGCCTTTACTCTGCACTCAGACCATCATTTGCTCGGTGTCCTAAGTGTTCTAGTGGAAAGTAGATTTGTAGTACAGATCTGTGCGGTTGTGAGTTTTATGTTTAATAGCTTATTATTGCATCGCTGACATTTTCAGGGCAGAGAAACGCCAGCATATATCCTTCAGCTGCTGTGACGTAATGGTAAAATTCCTTATTTGTTTTTTTAAAGTACCTGCTGAGGGGAAAAACTGGTAAAAGCATAAACATTTTCCCTTAAAAAAGCCTTTTGCTTGCCAGGATGATGTAATATCAGCCTGGAAATAGTTTGACCCTAGACATGTTGGGGGCTTACATCCTAAACTGGAAGGGACTGTGTTATTTGTTTGTTGATAAGAGTTTATGTCCATGTTCAAGTTCAAATGCCTGATCATGAAATCTTGTCGACCCTGTATTATGTGTGTGTGTGTGTGTTGCGAGATCACCTCTTATTTAGGGAATTTTAATTGTTTTATTTTCTAATACTAGCTCAATATTGGTATCAATGTTTGGTATTTGTATGAAAAAGTAAAAAAGTTAGCAAACATTTCTTTAACTGGACCGAAAGTATAATTGTTATTTGTGATCAGTAACTATGAATAATGGGTTCTGGGTTTTTGCAGCTGTGTCAGGTCTAAATTTGACTCGGGTGAGAGTGACTCTCAGTTTTGTCTACAACAGGTAAAGACATGCCTGTTCCTCTTTTCTTTATACTTGGCCAAACTCTGATAGTTCATTTTGACAAGGTCCCGAACTTTAAAAATAGCAGCTGGAAAGAAAAACAAGATTTGAAAGAGATTTTCTGCTTTCCCCATAAGATGGCTGCAGACCAAATCAGGGTTTAGTAAATCCTGCTGGTGGAGGAAGTCCAGCATTATGTGTTGATGCTTTTGCAGTTTTTTCTTCAACATTTTGTCCTTTCGTGTCTGTTGGTTACCTTTGTGATGGAAAACGCATTGACAAAATGCTGGCATCATAGAAACGATGTCAGCAAACCCTCCAGCTCTGCGAGCTGAGCCTCGTAGCCGCTTTGTTTTAGGGGACAGGCAGCTGCTGGTGTTTAACATTGCAGTGCATGCAATGGTTGATGCATTGTGGGAATTTGTGATAAAAAATTAAAGATGAATGTCAGAAAGGTGAACGAGTGTCTCATTTCTTGTCTTTGTCTCAACGGATATCGTCATAAGGTTTCACTCCGTGTATCTGGGAGAGCAGCCTGCAGACAGGAAGCCAAAAGTTAGACAGTGTGCTCAGAAGGAAGTGACATCCTCTTAAAAAGATGAATAACAGAAAATAGATGCTTGAAGATGTTAAACAGTACATTTGCAGAAAGTGAAAACGCAAAAGACACGTAGCTCTCAGTTTCCCACCATGTTTAAAACAACGTGTGCTCGTTTGGCAAGAGAGGATGTTGACAATGAGACGGCCCTGATAAGAATCAAGGCTAATGGCAACAGAGGACAAAGGCATGCATTGTGGGAAGAAACAGCACTTCCGCTTTTGAGGAAAAACATAGTGAAGCCTTAGACGGCGGCCCATCGAAACAATTAAAACAAATAACAAAGAAAGCAGATTAATAAAGAAAGCTGCTCCTCTGTGTTTAGAGTGAGTTTTTTGTTGAAGTGTGTGTGTGTTTGAATGCCGCCGCAGGATGTTTATGCTGTCCAGCCATCTGCGTTTGCTTGGACTGGAGCTGTACAGTGGCAGGCCTTGCTATACATTCCCCAGAACCGTTCCCACCCATCCACATCCTCTGGTCCCAACATTCCTGCACAGCAGCTCCAACAGGATGCTGACTCTGGGATGCTGGAAAAGATGCTAGTTGGTTTCTGTGTCATCAGATGTTTTCTTTAATATAGCGTTTTTTAAAATAAAATAAAATAAACTGACCTTAAACTGAAAACAACCCCCAGTTAAAGCGTCACCAGTGAGTCTGGCTTTTTTCCTGACGTTTAAATGCATCACAAGCTCAAAACAGCTATCTTATACATTTTCAGTGACTTCCTGATATTGAGTTTAGAACTTTAATGTCTGATCTTTAGCTGCTTCAAAAATGCATAAAGGTATGGTATATTTGAGTTGTATGCTTTGTTTCAGCCTCTGAATCCATTTGTTTGAGACCATTTTGTGTGGAAATAGCCATCTTTTTCTCTTCTTAATTGAAATATTTTTTCTATGATCCTGAATTGAGCATCTTTATCATTCCTTAAGATCTTCTCTAGACAGTTGTTACTACCACTTTTGTATCCCATCTGATACTGGATAAAAGTGTTTTGTTTTTGTGGGATCGGGCTATACCATTTTCAACGTGTGGATCCCGTGCTGACACCAGGAGGAGGAGGCCCTGTCATTCTGGCGTGGCAGAGTGCAGCCAGCACAGCAGAGGGCTCCAGGCTGACTCATCCAACTCCACACAGCCATGAGGCGCTGTCTGCTCTGGACGGCAGACACACCCGGCCCAAGTAAAAGCTCAGACTGCAAGGAGAAATGCTGGCAACTTTCATGCACTTCTATAACCACAGATAGCATTGGTGCTATTCCCGTATACTATTTTTAATGAAAACACACAGTTGTGTCCAGCGGAGACGTCTTTGTTAAAAACACAGTTTTGGAGGTGATGGTGTCAGTGTGACTGAACAGGAGAGTTAAAGTCTGGCTTGATTGTTGACTCATAGCAACAGCTCAGACCATTGTTTATTGCTTTCTCATTACGTCCTCTGTGGAGGATGACTGGAATAGTATCAGTATTTGTTGAGTCTCTTTTCTTTATCCTTGTTTTTACAGGCCTACTTGACCACTTTGGGAATAAAGCCTGTTTTATGTTGGCTGTTTGGTATCACATTTTATCTTATCTATCTGAACATGGTCTGAAAACGTTCTGCTTTTAACCATAGTGCAATGATTTAAACATTTAGTTAAAAGTCATGATGCTATAGCTCATCTGCCAGTATGGCTTTATTACACATTGTTAGCTTTGGTTTATGTGTGTGCTTTTGTAAAAGAGGAGGAGGCAGGGAAAGGAATGACCGCTGGGTGGAGCCTCGATCTTAATGCTAGTGACAGCAAAGAGCATGTGGAGAGGCGGAGGGAGGGAGGGAGGGGGGGAGGGAGGGAGGAAATGAGTAAGGCTCCTTCTCAAATGGACTTTGTCAGTATTGTGCTGTGAGCAGGCGGATAGCCGCGCTGTACAGCTGGGAAGCTGGCTCCTTCCCCTGCTGCCTCAGATGTGGATGTCTGACAGGCTCACATTAAACGTTAGGATCTAAGGAAAGAGGAGACAGCTGGGTCTGTTTTTTAAGACATCAAGGTGGAGTGAAAGAAGAGGAGCTTTGTGGAAAGAAAGAAGGTGACCAGACAATTCCTAAGGTTTGCAGAATTTTATTCATTTGGTGGATTTACCTTGTGTTACTCCCCTTAGAAAACTATTTGTGTAGCTTGTTTTTGGGACTTTGGTCATGTTTCTTTAGCTCTGACTGATCCCTGTTATGATACTACAGTGTTAAACTGTCAGTAAAGCAGGAGTTGATGTTTGCCGTATCACGTGGAGCACTAATGGTTTGACTTCTTTGCCGGACTGTCCTGTCAGTTACCAACCAGGCCATTTGTCCAGTGAAGACCAGAGAAAGGTGCTTCAGTGCCTGACACTGGAAAATGAAGCAGTGTGAGAGCATCGTGGATAAGGGACAAATATTGGAATTTTGATAACATGAATTTTGGGAGCAAAGTCAAATCTGGCATTCCTGAGATCTCACTCTCTGTGTTTGGGCCATGTGGAGGAATGATGCTGTTTGCAGACACAAAGGGACAGCTGTAATCATTCCACCACTCTTCCCACTGTATCTGTGTTCTCCTGCCATTCGCCTTCCCACGCCTCCTGGGTAAACACAGGGCTCCTTCTCATCCCTCAGTCCCCCTTCACCTTCTCCTGCCTACAGGAGCAGGTCAGGTTGGATGCTCCATGGAAGTTTGATCCACAACTGATGCTCCTTCTCAGTATGGGGGTTGTGGGTTTTGGGAGGTCATAGATGAACAAGTTCATCTGGATGACTATTAAAGACTGAGATTCCTTTACAGCCTATGCTTTGTTCTGTGATTTGTGGTACAGGAGTTTTAGATTTGTGTGTGTGTGGGATGGGGGAGCGTCAAATATATATGAGAGAGAGCACCCTTGGGGTTTGTTTTAGTAATGAGATTCAGTCTAACATCAGAGATCAGTAGATGAGTTGGTCTTATTTCAAGTAATACATTTGCTTTTAAGGCAGCTAAAAGCTAGAAAGAGCAGAAAGCTTACAATTATTAAACAGCCCTTAATGCACTGCCTTTATTCCCATTGCAGCCAACAGTATTGATTTATTGTGCATGTTTTGTGCTGAATGGATTAAACCTTATCATGAAGTGGACTGCCTCTTCTTACTGTTAGGCCAGTTATTGGTTTTGGCAAGGGGGTCGATTGATGGGTGCCTTCAGGGATCTTGGAGGTAGAGGTTACTTTTTAGCAAGTTTTAAAGGGACAAAATGCGCTAAAATGGACATCAGGAGCCCCGAAGGAGAGAGCCTTAAAGAGAAGGCTTAATAAAACTCTCCAAAGTTTAATAAATGTATGTCTTAAGTAATTTTTTGCATGACTTTGGCTCAAAGAGGAATTAGCATGGATATACGGTGGATAAGGGAGAAGGTGAAGAAACATGATAAAGCAGGAAGAGAAGCAGACCAATCAGGCCTAATGGATCGTGTAAAGGCAGTCAGATAGACAGTGTTTCTTCAGCAATCCAAATAAAAAACCTGTAGGCACAAAACAAATCAAATTGGTGAGTCAATTATTTCTACAAGCCCTATTTATTTATTTCCATCACTGTGAGTTCCTCATGCAAATGTGTTCAGAGTGCATGTGGCAACAGAGATGGATTTGTATCTTTTTGCATATTCCTCCATCAGCATATTTTCCGCAGCGCTGTAATGTAAACATATTCGCCCGTGCCTCTTATCTATTGCCCTGAACCATCAGATCATAGGTACACATTTTCCTGCTAGTATTCTTTAAAGGCACCCGTGTTTGTGACATAAATACGGTATTATTTATAAGCTTTTGAGGGCTGAGAGGAGCTTCCTAATTTGGGTCACATCTGTGGGGAGCTAGTTCCGAAAGATCCTACTAGCACAGATGATTCTAATTTCCTTATTTTCCAAAGAGAATTCTTCAGTGATCTAGGTGGAAATGAGATGTCTGTCTTTTATGCCAGCATGGCAATCAGCATGTGTATTAGTGGGCTCTGCCCCTGCGGGAGAGGGAACTTTAATTGGTATCTCCCTTGATGTCGCCTCCCTGGTGCTCTCTGCTGACCCAGTCTCCACTAAAAAGAGCTCTGTCCTTCCAGCAGCTCTTCACATACCAAAATATAAGCGCATAAAGTCAGACTATTCATTTGAAAGATAAAATATGATCAGTGGAGCATTTAGGTGATTTGAAACATTTTAAAAGCACAGAAAGTTTTGGTGATCCCAGAGTAGAGCTGCTTTAAAGCAGGCAGAGTGCTACAGTGCTGATGAAAGCAACGTCCAAACTCCCTAACGGAAAGTATTGATTGTTTGAGTCATACATTTTAATTTAATCAGACGCCCGATTGAGGCCAGGATGTTTTATAGTAGCCAACATTTAGCAAGTGAGTGCTAATGTATATATTATCACATCCGAGCAAAATTGTTCCAACAATTGGTTTTTATTAGAGTTTCAATTGAAATGAATACGTTTTTTATGTTATATACCACTAAACCACATTAAATGCCATGTGTAGGCACTTCAAAGATATTGTCAGTCCATTAATGATTAATTACTGACACAGGGCCCAAAAAACATTGGGACTTATGCTCTCCCAGTGTGTGGGTGTCACACTGAGTGTGTCTATGAGTGACTGTGACTGTAAGCTGCTCTGTGTGCATTTGGCTGCAAACAGTGCATGCACGCAAACATATCTATGTAATTCCCCTGAATGACCTGTATTCCTGGGTGAGGAATGTCCCTGCAGATGGGGCAATCCTCTGCTTCCCCTTTTTTATTCAGTGGAAATCTTTTCATGTATGATCACTCAGTTCTACATTGAAGGCATCTTAGTCTTGAATAAAATCAGAACAGAGGGAAGAAAACAAACAAACACGTGTTCTATTCACCAATAAAATGAACCTCTTATTTAATTGCCCTTTTTATGGGCTTTCTGTCTTTTTCTGATTTTTGCCGCTTCAGCACAGTTTTGCAGAATGAGTCAAGCAACCTAAAGCCAGAGAAGACAACTGTTTTATCAGCAATTGTTCATGTGGATGGGCTTCCCCCACCTCTGCTTTCCTTTAGAAAATGGCACCCACTTGGTGCCCACCTCTGGCATATTTGTGGGTAGGGCCTTCCCCTTCTCTAATCTGGTCTAGATTATATTCGACTAGAGCAAAGAAGACCAGGTTAACCAATTCTTATCATTTTGGTGAGGGCTAATGATGTGTGAGGATGTAGGGTGGCATTTGCACTATGGATGGATGGATAGATAGATGGATATAAATGGATAGATCCCATACTCAAATTACCACTTTGCTTAGTTCCTCTCTATCTCCTTGGAGATAAATTATAGCCCACAATGCCGCTCGTCCCAGTGCATGTTTTTTGTCGGTCCCAGCTGTCCTATGTGGGGTTGCATGGCTCCCTTCAGTGCTGCCACCGCCCAAATTTAGATTATGTTTCCACCATAAGCTCAGCCTGTCGTTCTCCTTGTTCCTCTGGCTTTGCATTGTTCAATACAGGAATGCACTCTGGATGCACTCACTATGGCATGAACGTCTTCATCCCATCGGAGATCAGAAAGCTGTTTTTTCGCTGGAAGGTTCATTCAGTCATGGGCCTTTTGGTGCTTTTTCGGTGTGCTTTTAGTTGCAAAATTTTAATATTCTCCCTGATGAAATCTCTGAAGGGAATATAAAAAGTTGCAGTTGTGTGCGTTTTGGTGTCTGTCTTTGCTCACCACCATCTAGTCAACTCCCCCGCTTTAGCAGTCAGGTTTTTGTAGATCCTGCCATGGTTTCCATGGCTACTCAGAACATTTTGATGCTTCTGGTTCACAGGGGATGCTTTTGGCTGTGAGGTATGATTTTTTTTTTTTTCCTTTCAGTCTGTTGTCACAGCATTGAATATTACGTGACATTTCACATTGACTTCATGTGGATTTCCCTCAAGACGTTGAATCTCAAATGCCTTGTTTTATTTAAAGAATTTACCTCTACCATGCACAATACATAGAACAGAAAACACTGAATAACCAGAATGTATTAATTTCTTTTGCATTTCGCTTCTGCAAACTTCATTCCATTGAAGTATAGGTTTGAGTATTTGCAATTGTTCACATTTTGACTAGGATGTCTCCTGCGGTTATGATAAGAAAACATGGGATAATATTTTTCTATTGACTCAACATGTTTTCAGGTCATTTAAGTTGCTATTTCAAAGAAAAAGTGAAATCTAGGAGATGGCTTGTCTCTATTTTTGCATGTAATGGAGAAAGCTTTTTAAGGTCTGGTGGCAAACATTTCTTTGTCCTCAGTTTGCACCGCTGTGTAGCCCTTACTTGGTAAAAGTAGAATTAACCTTTCAGCTCAAGCCCTTTGACCTTTAAACTCTGTGGTTGTGGTAATAAGAAGAGAGCAGGGGTCAGGGTTGGGCCTACGCTGGGCCATGTGGTGAATCGGTAAAAAGGCCTCACATCATACAATCTTTAATTCTATTATTTGCTTATTTTATTTCAAATATTTACCAAGAAATACTTTCAAGCAGATGATCCAAATGATTGGTGTCAGATGCAGTTCAACTCACGGCAAAAAGGCATTTTTAAATGATTGTGTTTTGAGCACTTCAGACAGAAGACCTGTTTTCCTACTGAAAGTCAAATAAAAAGCACTGTTCTTGCGTTGCTGTTACATTGAGTTGATTAATCTGCTGATGTCCTACCTGTGCTTTAAGAGCAGGTGGAACTCGCCAAGCACATTGTCTTTCAACCAGGACATGTTACTCGGCCCTCTGTGGTTGGCACAGGTCAAGCTAATTATATCTGCTTATTAGATGAGTGACAGGGACACTGGCACATTTGTGCGGTTCTAGCTGCAATTTCAAGAGTGTCTTGGTTGAACTGAGCTTTTAAAAATGTTTGATTTTTTTTAGTCAGATTAAACTCTCCATGTGCCTTAACATGTATAATATTTATGAAGGTGTGTTACAGAAAGAGTTTAAAAATATGAAATCTCCCCATTCTTCTGTAACTTCTTATGAATAGCATTGTCCACATCTTTTGTCATGAGCATGTAATTACAGATTTTTAGTTACCATTAGGAAGTTAAATCAGATTTCAGTGCACAACAACACCCTTTGGGATATGTGTGAAGAACAGAACTGCACTGACTCGAGTAAAGGTGCTACTTCCTGATCTTTTCTTTTATCTCTCTCCAGTGCCAGACGACCTCACTCCAGAGGAGCAGCAGGAGCTGGAGAATATCCGCCGGCGCAAGCAAGAGCTGCTGGAGGACATTCAGGTAATACTGGGGGGGGAGATATGTGACTGTACATAAATACAATTGGGCAACTCTGAAAATCAATAAAAGGTAGTAGGGGCACACAGAAAGAAATATGTTTGTATTCGCTGAAAAGTATCAGTCATTCTAAAGGGTTTAAAAACTGAAACGCATCCAATGTTGCTCCATGTTACAATGGAACTTGCATTCTTGCAAATAAAAAATGAAAAGTATAATTAAAAAAAATAAGGAATGAGACTTCTTATCACAATTACATTAAAAAATAACAACAGTTTGTCACAACACACATATTTGTGGCTTTGTTTGTGAGAGGATGTGACTTTTTTATTATTTTCCATGGAACTTTTTGAACATTCTTGTGGAATTTGTGGTATTTCCCATAGTGTCAACTTCCTCTACAAATATTTTCTGCTAATTGTTTTCCCATTTATGTTCAGTAGGTGCACTGTGCCAAAAGCCAGAGACCTGTATTTGTAGATATAAGTTAATGTCTTTGAGGAGTTTGAATTTGAATAAAGTTCATTGGAGTTAGAATGAGACAAGCAGATGACTCTTCATACAGAATATGATGAGGCCCCAGTGACTTTATAAAGCTGCCAGCTTTATGAGCACTCTATTTGCCATCTAAACTAAGCCCTGGATTCAAATCAGAGCAGCTCAATTTCCCTATAGTGGTTTATGATATTCCTCTCCATAATCCATGGTGATCTTTTTTTCTTCAATTTTGACTGTTGACTTGCTCTCAGGGTGCGACTGATCATTGTGGATAACTACTTTTAATTCTCGCAGTGACTGAACTAAACTAAGTAGCTGGTGACAGACTGTCACTCAGTAACCAGAACTTGTAAGTCAGTAACTCAGACTGTAGGTAACTCGACTTCCGCTGGTGATGATGGTCTCTGGTGGGGTAATCCATCACTTTGCTATAAACCGGGGATACGTTTACTTCCCTCCCCCCTCTGACCACCACTGCTGCCCATATCGTCCACTCCTCACCCCCACAGCGTTCTGCACACTGACCCTTGTCCTCCTCTGTAACGCCCACACCCTCCTCTGCTGGGGCTGCCTATCATGGCCCCCACCAAAGCCCCCTTCTTTTCTCTCTAAGCACAGTCTTTGTTTGTGGAGGAAAGCATCTGAGGAATGTGTTTTGATTGCACAGGCCTTAAAAGTTAGAGGTCTGTGGTTTGGTCTATAGTAAGTTTGTGTTTTCCACAAACGTATTGTTTACTGACACTGTAGGGTAAAAAGGGACTCAATTATTCTAGATCATAACTGGAGAACAGCCCAAATTCTGTCAATAATTTACAATTTTCTTGTGCTGCTCATTCCTTTTTTTTTCACACATAACATAAAGATTATATCATTGTCCTCATCCCCTTTCGTTCCTGATGCTCTTACAGCGTCAGACTGGCACCACCAGGCCGGGCTTTATCAACTAAATCTGGCTTAAAGGCCTTTAGGCACTAAAATGCCACATAAAATATAATCCACATATGCCGACTTACTCTTTTTTTTATCATGGTTATTTCCCTAATGTGCTCTTCCCACTGAAATTCAGATTGAGAGGATTGTTAGGGAGACTTCACATACAAATTCTACTGCATGGAAGTCATTGTTATTTTTTGTGAAAAGGAAGACAGTTCAACAAAGAAATGTCCTCCTTTGCTGAACTGTTAGCTTCAATGTGAGGATTTATGTAATAAAAATGTCACCTGGCTCTCAATCCAACATGCGAGTCATCCTTTCCTTTTCTCATGTGAATAGTTTGCTTGTTATTTGATTGAGTCACACCCTTATATGCCTTACTGTGGTGTTGGTGGACAAATGATTCACTCATTTTCCCGTACTTGTTCACACTTGTTTCCTTGCAGCGTCTCAAAGATGAGATAGCAGAAGTGACCAGTGAGATCGAGAACCTGGGTTCCACTGAGGAGAGGTATGAAAAGAAAACGCACATTTCCCCTCTGCTTTGCCTAAGTTAGGTCTTTGTTTCCCTGCTATTAACTTAAGCAAAATGAATCTGTCAATTATTCATGTTTGATGGCCAAATTGAGCCTTCCATCACACCATGTACCCTCCCCAAATTGTTTTAGCTTTTAAGGCAGTTTAAATGTTTCATCAGGCACACCCTGATGATGGGAGGGCTTTTTGAATAATGCATGGGTGTACTGGCAGAGGCAGACAATAGTTGGTCTCAGGAGAGGGAGAGCTTGGGTTTGGCCTACTCAAGTGGATAGGGATCCTGTCTGCTGCTGAAATGTTCTGAAACATACACACTTCTCAGGCATCTGACACCTGTTAAAGATCCAAGTACAACAAAGAGCTTGTGATCAGATTTTTATGCAAACCATTAATTGAATACAGATGGTGGTTGTTTTGGTATCACTGGTTGAATGGTTGCTGGACTCTGCTAGATAAAAAACAAAACAAAGGAATGCTAGTGTAAGGGTGTCAGGGGGAAGTGGTTGTGACGTGTCATCAGCTGGGAAGGTAACCATGGTGGTGTGGACTCGAGGGGTGCTCTTTAACCCCTAAATTATTTAAGCCCCAAGAAATTAAATACTCCTACATGCTCCCAAAGTGATCAGCATCTCACTTGATCAGTGTATTTTCATCATGGCACCGCCATATCCGCCTAAAAAGGATGCCCAGAGTGGATACATTTACTTTGGTAGTCCAATCCTCACTGAATGAATTTAGTTTGAAGTCATCATGTTGTCGGATAAACATGTGACTGATATGATTTTAGGCTTTTTAATTTTCAGCATTTCAATTAGTCAAAAAAACAACAACTCAAGTGTACATTGTTTCTCACAGGAAAAACATGCAGAGGAATAAACAGGTGGCCATGGGTCGTAAGAAATTTAACATGGACCCCAAAAAGGTAAGTGGATGTACCGCTTTCTAAATTGTCCCACTTATTCTCGTTGGCAGAGTGTAACCAGCAGCATCCTCTCTTTCTCAGGGAATCCAGTTTCTGATTGAGAATGACTTGCTGAAAAACACCAGTGATGATATTGCTCAATTCCTCTACAAAGGCGAGGGTCTCAACAAAACAGCAATTGGAGACTATCTCGGAGAGAGGTAAGGAGAACGATTTTCTTTTCCTTTTACCTTCTCTCTTAGATTCCCCATCTTATTTCAGAGCACCCATCCACGGGGCTGATGAAAACATCAAACAGACAGTGCATATTTTCCCTATTGCTGTTTCCTGTTGGTCAGACATGCACCCATCCTTTTCCAAACAAGGATTATTGGTTCCACATTTAAAGCGTCTTCTCAGGACAATGTCCGTTACTCAGTGGCTTCCATCTGTTTTTGGTTATCTTACTCATTCACTCACAACAAGACCAAGATACTCACAGTTCAGGAATGCTTGGGTTTGAAAGCAATTACAAAGACCACTGGAGAGCACAGATCAGTGGTGTTATATCAAATTCATAATGCAGGACAAATTACACTTGATGTACAGTTTACGCTGCTCAGGGACTGTAAAGTAGGCTGTGGTACTGGCAGGGTGTGTTCTCCTATAAGGTCAGACCAGGAAATGGATGCTGTCTTCCAGCTTGTTATCAAGTGTTTTAGATTCTATAAGGAGGGGCCATGACAGCAAGAGACCCTTGACTTCAGAGTGGTCATTTGTCAACAGAAAATGTTGGTGACTGGCTAGCACTGAGTGTCATATGGGACCATGGCTTCATAGATGGCTTCATAGATTCCCATGGTCCCACAGGACAGATCATTTACTGTGAAGGTCACGGATGATCTCATGATCTAGATTAAATGATAAGTATGTGGGGGTGGGGGCTGTATGTTCTCCTCTTTGGGATTTGTAGAGAACATCTATTGTATCATAGGGCATTTCCACCCTTTGAGCCAGATCCCAAACCAAATATGTCCTCACACATCTTTGTTAGGTCTACTGAAATCTGCCTTTAGATTAGGCAACCAGCTAATGCACAGCATGATGGTTTTGAATTTGATGCATCTCTTCTCTCGAGGGATTTAAAGTGTATGTATTTTCTGTTTAATGTTATGAATAAGAATAAAGAAAAAGCACTAGTGGCACTAATGCTATTGTGTTGTCTGTTCACATTGTGACTGGTTCAAAGAATATCACATCTGGCATTTTCCATAGTTATTAATTTGTCATATTATGTTTCATTTAGAAATGGATTTAATATCCAAGTCCTCCATGCTTTTGTGGAACTACATGAGTTTACAGACCTCAACCTAGTTCAGGCCCTAAGGTAAGACTTTTTTCAAGCATCTTAAACACAATTATTAATTATCTTAAACACTATTTAAAGCATGTACAAAAGTTAATCATCAGGAGTCACCTCATCTGCATTTAACAGGCATCCAGCTTTCAGTTTCAGTTTTGTGCAATAGAAAATTCAGCTTCTGCCCACTGGAAGTGATACTATTGCAGACTGACAGTTGTGTCCCATGACAGACAGTTTCTGTGGAGTTTTCGGCTGCCGGGAGAAGCCCAGAAGATTGACCGTATGATGGAGGCCTTTGCTCAGCGCTACTGTCAGTGCAACCCTGGTGTTTTCCAGTCCACAGGTGCTTTGATCATGTTTCTCAGTGCTAAAATATTCAGTCTTGTCTGCAATGTTGGTTCAAGAGAACGAAATTACTCTTTTTTTAATTTTATTTTATTTGTGCAACATTTTTCGGGCTATTGTTTTCCTAGAAGATGGTGATTCATTCTAAAACTTACAGGGAAATGTATTAAGTTGGTATTAAACTTTTATATACTTAGAAACTAAAATTAAATGAATGAAAGAGTTAAAAGCTGCATCTCCATGGCCAGGCTGCACCGAAATTATCATATTTCAATATTTTTTTCAAACAGTTGGTTACACCCAAACCTTCACGGGCTTTTCACTTTTAATGGTACAATGTACCCTGACTGAACAGACTTCATATTGTATGATAATCAAGTCTCTTTGTTATGTGCAATATTCACGTTTCTCTTTATGATAAAATGGTTTGTCAATGAGAGTCGTAACACAACTGCTTTATTTAGCAGATACAATGTCTGCTGTGTATCTGAATATTTGGACTCATAACAGTGTGCCTAACATGGATGCAGATGGATATGAATATTGCATGGATCTTCTCAGGCCTTACAGTACTTAAAATGCTGCTGCGTCAGCCTCGTCTTTCTTTGCCCGTGCAGAAACGTTATGCATATTTAACTGCCCACGTGTGGCCTGCCCACTCCCTCCACTGATGAAGCAACATCTGTCTGCTCTTCTCCGCTTGACTTTGGTCCCAAAAGTGCTGCACTTTAGCTCAGCTCATTCACATCCATATTTTAACACAACATAAAAATTTCACAATCATTTTTTTAATGTTAAACGCCAGTCCTCCACTAAACCTTTACCCTCCGTTTTCGCGTTACAGACACCTGTTACATCCTCTCATTTGCCATCATCATGCTCAACACCAGCCTCCACAATCCAAACGTGAAGGACAAACCCACTGTGGAGCGCTTTATCTCAATGAACAGGGGCATAAACGATGGAGGAGACTTACCTGAGGATCTGCTCAGGGTGAGTGACACCTCTAAACTCCGCCCCTGGTGACCTATCGCATTTAGTTTAATCTCGGGCGTTTGTACTCCTGCTCGTTTGCAGAATCTGTACGAGAGCATCAAGAACGAACCTTTCAAAATTCCGGAAGACGACGGTAACGACCTCACACACACTTTCTTCAACCCAGACAGAGAAGGCTGGCTTCTTAAGCTGGGTGAGTAACAGTATGTTGGCAAGTGATAGACACCGCGATGAGTGCTGCCTTTATCATGTCTGCTCAGGAAGAAGTACTGTTATTTCTCTATTGCAGCACGTTGGAGCACAACAGGTTTCTCCCAAGTGAGCGTGTTTGTGTCTGGGTATTTTGAAGTGTCAGTGAGCATGTGTGAATAGGTCTGCGTCCTCCACGAGACATCCCTAGACTTTTTCAGCCAGCTTTTAATGTATTATGAATGCGAGCTTGAAATCGGACCATTACATGTAGAGGCATTTTAATTATTTAAGACACGCACTTTTGCTCACATATGCTTACTTTGAAAACTTGTAACATCCAGTGTATTCACAGACTTGAGCAAATATTTAGAAGCTGAGTTTCTGTAAATAACCTCGCTATGGCAACCCAACAGAACAAAGAATGTTTTGTTATGTTACTTGTTTACTTATTTATACTCTAAACTTTGTAATGCTTGTGTCTTTTCAATGAAAATGTACTCATTTAAAAATAAGCCAATGTTTAGTACAGACAACTGCATACTTTTATCATTGGAAAGGTTTTCCAGGATCCACCCAACAACTCCATGAAATTCTTTTGAGATTTTGCTCTGTTGTACAGATTAAGAATGACTTTGAAAAGCATGAATTTGGAAAAGAAAATCCTTCTTTCTCCAATTCCTCCTTACTGGCAGTTCTGTGTCAAACAAATAAGGTGGAACGTCAATTACCCGATATAAAAGAAATGGACCAAAGGCAGGTGATATTTAATGGACTGCTGTCCAAAAACTTTGTGTCTGCGTTGAGTGAAGTGCCCCCTTGTGGACAGATAGTGTTTTTTCAGAAAATCTGGAACGGATAAAAAGGACTGTTTCTATAATTCCTTATCATTTAATTTGATTTGTTATCTTTTCTTTTCCTCTTCGTTTGTTTGTTTGTTTCCATGATTTTGGCTGTTGTCTTTCCTCAGGAGGTATGTACACCTGCTCTTTCCAGTGCTAGTCCATCTCTCGGCTCACAGGTGCTTTTGGTGGTCTGCCATGCTTTTTTTCTTTTCTCATATTCGGAATTACTTTCGAGCAGTATGTAGATCTTTTTTAATGGCTTTTTGTGTCTCCATTGACTCATTTGAACTTAAGATGTTTGTCTCTTTGGTGTTTCATTGAGCTGGTGGTTTGTCCAAGCTCTTTGTCGGCCAGTCACCAGGTTCATTTGCGACCCTGGGTGCTTTGCTCAGGAAGCTGCTGCTTTGTGACCACTCTGAGCAGCTCGACCCCTTCGATCTCTGGATGCTCTGGTGGCCACTCTGTTTGATCTCCTTTTCATTTGGAAGCTGCAGTATACCTTACTCCATCCAGCAAACACAACAGAGGACTTTTAAAATTGATCGTGAACCAATTAACCATTTGATTGTGTTTTTGTTCTGTGCTTGCATGGAGAGGGAATACTGCACCTTTTTATCAGTGTAGCTTTTATGTCACGCCAGAAATTAATTGAACGGGTAACTCTGTGGCTTCAGTCTGTTCTGGTGCTGGATTGAATTGGACCATCTCTGGGAGAAAAGCATGGGCTGAGGAGTATGCCTAAGGGGGCTTTTTCACTATTTTAATTAATTAGGTTAGATAAATGTGCACATCGATTCCTGATTTGACCATGTTTTATTTTGATAAGTGCATCTTTTGTCCCCATTGTAAATCAAATTGTCCATTTAAAATGTTTCCACTTGTTGAATCATTGGGATGAAATAAGTCAAAGTCTCCAACAGATCAATATGATTTATGTGAGAACCCCTCTTAGCTTCTACTCGTCCATCCTCCCACAGTCATCTCTTGCATGGGTTTCTGACTCCAATTCGACCCAGCATCATCTCTGCAACAATCAACTTCATTGCACAGGAGCTCTCTTTTCTCTAAGTGACCACAACTGACTTGACAATCAAACCAATCTCAGCTCTGAATCAGCCTAATCGAGTCTCGGGTCGTCAGCTGTGTGATTCTGCCATGGATCTGTGCTATCTGTTGGTCTGCATTTTTTTATTTTCTTTTTGCTGTGACAACATGCTGTTGAACCTAAATGTGTTGAGGAGCCACTCGTCGGTGTTGTCTGTAGATACTAAGTGTAGACTGACCTATCATGACGTCTGTGATATGATGGGATATCATATACAGTGCCACCGCTGTTATATGATAACAAAAGTGTGTTTCACATGTTTTGTACAAAAACATCCTTCAAAACCTCACTTGCTGGAAAATGGGTTTCTCAATGCAGCTTTTTACTAACATTGGTGGTGGGATAGTCTAGTCTAGACGAGGGTAATACCCGTGTGCCATGATAACAAAAAGCACCTCTTTGCAGCTTTTTTTTCTCTGTCTGAGAAAATTGCTCAAATAAAGCCAAACAGGAAATTTTCTGTCTGAAATGCCTTCACAAAAGATGAAATGAGCTTCCCGTCTCAGCGTGATGACATTCCATTCTTCCCTAGTTAGGCTCCCGCCTGCTTCTGTGATCAGGTTTGCCCCATTAGAGTGTTGACAAGGAGTTACTTACCAAATTCAGCTCTCTTTTACAAATAAAAATATTCTTCCTGTAACTGTCATGAAGTAACTTAATTGAAGTGGTTAATTAAATTCTGACTACAAAGCATATAGATCTGAATTTTTGTATTGATCCTGGCTTTCTAGGTGTATTTATCTAAATTAGGAAATGAGGGATAATTACTGAGCCAAGTGAGACCAGGTTTACTTATCCCATGGATGTGAAGAAGTAACTAAAGGAAGCATAGACTCATTGCCTTCATGTCCATTGTCCTCCAAGTGTATCTTTAAAAATAACAGTCATTCAGTTTTTTAGTGTCTGTAGGAATATTTTAGAGCCTTAAATCTGTAATGAAATGCAAAGGGAAAAGAAGCATGGTTATAAAGTAATCTAATAATGTGGTGATGGGGGGCACATGGCTGAATAATACTCTGGATAAGAGGAGTCCTCTGGAGCTGTCATCTGTCCGTCTTCCCGCACATCTGTCTGCTTGTCTGCTGCTCGACCCGGTGCTTTGGTGCTCGTTTTCTCTCCTTGTCTGCCTCTCTTGTTGAGCTGATCTGATGCTGACTGTTTGCTCCACAGGGGGGCGTGTTAAAACCTGGAAGAGGAGGTGGTTCATCCTTACAGATAATTGTCTTTACTACTTTGAATACACAACAGTGAGTACCGTGTTTTTCAGGTTCAGCTCACTCTTTGTCAGTGCTCATCACTGTGTTATATACTACGCATTTTGCACTTGTACAGGACAAAGAGCCCAGAGGAATCATCCCTTTGGAAAACCTGAGCATCAAGGAGGTGGAGGATAAGAAACCCGTATGTACAGCTTCCTCTGTTGGTTCATAATAGAATTACACTCAGATCAGTGCTCGGATTTAGATCTTTTGTTCATTAAAAAAAATTTACATTTATTATTAAGCTATTACTCCTGTGATCTTTTATAAATCTACTGTTTTTAGAACTGCTTCGAGCTTTTCATCCCTGACAACAAAGACCAGGTGATAAAAGCATGCAAAACTGAAGCTGATGGCCGAGTTGTTGAGGGCAACCACACCTTCTACCGCATCTCCGCCCCCACCGCTGAGGAAAAAGAGGAATGGATGAACAGCATCAAGTAAATATTAGTTTGACCATTTATTTTCCAATGACCATTTTAAAAAAAAAAAAAGGGGGGGGAAAAAGCATTACGCATATAATGGAATGGCCAAGCATATTATTTCTCCACTGGTCAGACTCGGTAACAGTAGATTTGAATGAAACAATTAGGAAAAACAATATAGTTTATTTTTTTTATTCAATTTCCAATAATTTAGATTAACTGAAGAATTATTATAATTCTATAAATCATAGTTACAGCCCCATTATCATAACATTAGTCCTATTTCCACCCAACAGTTTTTCTGGATAAAGGTGATCTTCAAAGATGACAGTTAGAAAATCAAGCATTTAAAAAAATCCAGGCACTTTCACATTTTAGATTTTTTTAAAGAGGATATGTGATTACCAATAGTTACCAAGTTTTTAATCCATATATATATTAGGTTTTTAATTTTAGCTGGACTTTTCACCAAGTGAAGTAATTATATATGTTACATACATCTCCTTCAGAGTTAAACATTAGACATTCAGGTTTATAGTCATCATTAATCTAAATCAAAATTTTTCCTGTGTAATACGAATATGAATCTACACTGTATCTAACTGTGAAGCTAAAAACTCTGGATGGAGAATGAACAGGTGTTTACCACCAATCCTTCCGTTTAGAGATATTATCTATTCACAGGTACTTGCTTTGTAGTTCTGTGGAAAAAGCAGGTTGCTTATCTTTAATACCGATCATCATGCAACAGCTGCTTAACTGTGTGTGTGTGTGTGTTGACAGATACCTTTTTCGTGGTCAACACATTTCTTAGGTTTTTCATTTCTAATTGACGTTCTCTTCTGTTTTGGTTCCGCAGAGCTGCCATCAGCAGGGACCCCTTTTACGAGATGTTGGCTGCCAGGAAGAAGAAGGTGTCGTCCATGAAGAGGCACTAGAGCTGCTCAGCCCAGCTGAAATTGCACTTGACAGGGCAGGGGCTCCAGGCGTCTGCTTGGGCTTTAAGCTGGTGCAGAGGCCCCCTCGAGGTTTCAAAAAGACTCATCCCAGGATCTTCTTAAGGACTGTAAAGACCTGAAATGCAGGAAGTTTAGGACAAGAGACATGGTCAAAGCCATCTTACCCCACCCACCCACTCCTGTCTGAAGGCCCCCCTTTCCCTCACAGCTTTGAGTTTTCTCGCTGTCTGAGGAAGGGGAAGCATTTTGCTCCTAGTTTGAGCTAAATCCCATTTGAAGATGCTTTAATAAAATATTTCAGGAACATTGTGTAAACACAGCGTGCATACACACGTGCATTCCCCACATCGTTTTAAGTCAGCAGGTCTGATCGAGTGTGGCACTCCAAAATATTCCTGGCTGTCTGAAAGAAAAGCCTAAAACTTTTCTGATATGCTTTAATATGTCTCTATTTTTACAGCTTTTACTGTTGATTCAAGTCCTCTCTGTTGGCATGGTTTTGTAAAATAAATTTGTCTAGAATCAGAAGCTGCAGAGGGGCCATTTTTTTGATGGGGTGTGGGATTAATTTGTCAACTGTTCATGCTTTTTTAGGTGAAAAAAAAAAGAAACTATCATTTACTGTTACAAAAAGAGTTGTAACTCAGGAGATTGCTGAAAAGAAGCTCAGAAGCTTTTCATTTCGCACTGACTTGGATCATGTTCACATCATGACAGCCTTGCAATGAGTTAGGGCTGAGATGTTTTTTGGAAATGTGAATCTGAAGTGAGGATGTCTGCTTGTCTGGACAGGGTCTCAATGTTTGATCTCACTCTCAAAGCTCATTTCCTGAAAGCCCTGGAGATAAGACCTAAAGATTTTTTAAAGAAAGGTCTTTATCACTGTGGGCTTTTGGTGTCTTAGGCTGGCTGGAAAACATCACTGTCCCCCCCTGTTGGTTCTTCCCCACTCTTGTCTCGCTTTGGTGTCTTACACATAATGTCCCGCTAATGCTTTATCATACAAAAGTCATTTAAATGTTAGTAATTGTTCCTTCCTGCTGCACAGTGCCTGATGCTCTGTTGTTGATAAAGTGTGATGAGAATTGCTGCTGGTTAGCGAGTGTGATTGAGATTTTCTGTTCCCAGCCAAGCCTAGTCTGTCTGCCTTTCATACCCTTGTTCTGTGTAGAGAGCTACTCTTTTGTTTTGTTTTTTTCAATGGTAAAATCAACCATTCTGACAATTGTACAGTACTATATGCTTCAGGTTGTAAATGTTTAAGACTTATTGTTTGACATGTGGCTGTAAAGGCTTTAAAGGCATTATGCCTACAGATGTGTGGTCTTTCCCTTGTCTCAGGATGTTTAATGCAAATAACAGAACTACTTTTTGTATCAGGAATGTGCTGTGATGAACCAGGAGAGTGAAGGCAGGACGACTGGCCCCTCACTGCAGTTGACTTTTCATTTGTCTGTCCTGGCTGTCTGTTTTCGTCACTCCCTGCCTGCTTTATGTCCAGGTTCTCCTCCTCTCTGCTTCTCACAGTGCACTGCTCCCAGTGGATTAAGTAAGAATGCAAAACAATCATAATTCTTGACAGTATTGGTTTATTTATCAAAGTTGTACATATTTTAATGTATATTAGTTATTTTGTCCTTTTAAAAAAAAAATAGATTTACAATTTTTATTTGATTTTCAGTTGAAATATTTGATTTCAGATTTCTATCAATGCCATTTAATCAATTTGAAATAAAGCCTAATTTTTCTCTCAACTTCGACTACAATGGAATGCATTTACAAACTAAATGTCAACCCATGATGCAGCTTTAAAAGTCCTCCAGCAGGTGGCAGTATGTGATAAGAACTTCCAATGCATTCTGATGTAAAAATTCTCAACAGTGACCAAATGCTTTAGTTTTTTTCCCCGTTGTGGACAGTTTGCTTTATATCCATGAATACTGAACACCACTTCCACTTGAGGGCATCTTTTAAACTGAATTATTCGCTCTGTTCTGACCAGGCTCTTTTCTAAGTATGCACTACGCCAACCACATTTGTCCTCTATAAAGAACACCAAAAAAAGGGAAAAAACAGCCCTCCTCTTGTTACTGTTTAAATTCAGGCTTTATTTACAGCCACATTTCGTATTATTTCACTAGCTTGCCTTGTAAAGTATTTATGGCACAAATGTCAGTGCAGCAGAAAAAGGTCGATATTTACAAGTGAATATGTATCATATTCAATGGTGCCTGGAAAAGCAATCAATAGAAATGACTTTCTCAATGGAACAGGCATGCAGGAAACAATGGGGCATAAGATACTGTCTGATGGAGCACATGTTGGATATAATGAAGACTACATTAAAAGGCACATGCATCCTTGGGCTTATGTTGAACGCTTATAAACCTTGACAAATGACAAATGAAACAGATGACCTGTATCTCACCTTTTACTGGTATATTTAAAAAAATACTGCGTATATCAAGTGTATTCAATTTTTGTTTCCCAAAATCACAAATGAAGCAAAATTTTTGTTTTTAATATTTATCAGTTTAAGATGATGAGTGAGAAACAGTCAGAGAGGGCAGTTCTCCATTCCCAAATGGAGTAAGTTTAGAAAAAACAGATTTTAGGATAGCAAGCCAAATAAAGAAACCGTGGGGTAAGGGCCTTTTTCAGACTGGTAGCCGACTAACCAATGATCACTATGAAACGGAGCCCATCTGTGGGCGAGGGTAAACACATAAAATAACATGGTAGTAGAAATGTCACACTTCAAGCACATCTCAATTTAAAAGACACCTGAGAGCTAGCCGACAAGTGGAGTTCTTCTTTTCCAATTCCAAAAGGTTTGCAAGCCAAAATCATAACTACAGTTCAACAAAACGGCAGCACCAATGTGTGGAGGTGTTTTTCTGTATTATAGGTGTGGTTGACAAAAAGCAATCACGCGGAAAAGTTTCTTTCTCTGCAACTTTCTGAAAAAATCATTCACGTTTCAGTTGAATATAACACAAAGTACAACAGTTAGAGCATTTTCAAAGCAGTTTAAAAAAGATCTATGAATAAAATAGGTCCAAATCATATCTCAGCACTTTTAAGAAAAAAAAAAAAAAAGAACTTCACAGTTGTTTTGAGTAATGTACAGTGTTAAAAACGTTGTGTTTTTAAGGTGATTCTATGTAGCCACAACTCAAGATTCTGAGAAAATTGTCAAATTTGCTTGCACAGACACAATTTGTACTTTAAAAGAGGAATGTGCTGAATGTGCTGAACTCTGCTGAATGTCTCATACATCTGCATTCATGTACGTTGAAACATGTTTATCTGAATGGCAGAAAGCACTAAAACCAGAGAGTGAAACTGTCAAAAGTTCTTTCATCAACGGAGATTAGACCTTTTCTTCCCAGCAATGCAAAAACTATGCCTGAGATAAAAGCCAATCATCTTCTACTTTGAATAAATTATTCCAACGAGTCATTGCATGCATTTAGAGAACCTGGGTACAAAATTTAAAAAAACATCTGTTCCAGATGTGCTCTGAAAAAAAACATTGCAGTAATACATACAAAACAGTATTCCTAATTTGCATCTCTGGATTTGTTTTTTTAAGTAAAAATAATGCAGTTCAGAAATGAAAGTGCTTGTGAAATTGTCAGCAATTACCTTTTGAACAATATTTTGCATCGCCAAACAGGGTGATATTAACATTCATGAGAGCTACAGAGGAAGCCTAAGGAAGTGACCGTGACTGATGGTAAATGAGAGGCATGTTACCACAGGAAGAGAGAAAAAAAGTGTGAATGTGGCAAACAGAATCAGGAAAGACTTTGTTTTTTAATTATCTGCACTCTTTCTTGCTGGCATGCGAATGAGAAGAAACATGAACGTGTCTTGTGAGTTTAGTTTTTTTTCTTTTTCATGTGTGTGAATTGAAAGAGAATGAGTGGAAAGCTCACCTAAAACAGGAGGGTGCACATGCTGTAATGAAAGAAGATATCTGGAACAACTTGTCACCAGAGGGACTTTGTGGGGTCAAATATTTTTCATAAAAACTTCTTTTTTTTAGTTCTCTGAGCGCTTTGCTCTAAAACACTGAGGACCTCTCCACTCAGCTGGTGTGTCCTGTCAGAGCTGCTTGGTTGTGGTTGGTGGGGAGTGTAGAGGGCCTAGCCTCACGGTAGCTCTCATAGGCCTCCGGTAAGTGGAGACATGTGAGACCGGTCAGGCCCCAATTAAGCCCAGACTGTTTCCCAGAAGCGCCCGGGTCCTCCCCCTGCCTCTCCGCGCATTGCTGTGGGAGAGGGCTGCACCCCACGGTGTCCGGGCATGAACTCAGCTGGAATGAGAGGAGCCTGTTCTCGTACGGGCTCACGCGCGGAAAGAATGCTGCGCGCTTACAGGCATGGACACACAGACCCAGTCACGCAAAGACAAGAGCAACGCAACCTGGTGGATGTTCTCACACAGAGCACTTCACAGCTGCGGAGGATTTTTCAGGAACGGGTTTTTTTTGGGCCCCGGGTTGTTTTGAATTGATCATTTGGGCGGTGGTGCGTATAATGTGAGCTGTCAAAACCCATCACACCTAAAATGTCACAAAAGGCATGGTTATGCAAAAGTGAAAAAAACAATGATTTAAAACCAACACAAACGTGTGTCCACGTTGAACACCTCGTGTTGTAATACAAATCAGGTGTAGTGCTTGCAAATGTGTTGCTGTTTCACTGTAAGCCCAAAAAATGCTGCTTAAATTATTTTCTGCTATCTCCTTTTGCACCTGGAGAGAGTTTACCCTCAGATTTCCGAGAAAGAGCGTTTAAAAGCAACAACAACAAAGTTTCTGACCCACCTCCTGTCTCCACCACTATCTCACTTCCTTTATCTTTGACATGCAATCATATATAGATCATATGAGTCATAAGTCATATGGCAAGAGTTTGCTTAAAAGAGTTTAATGTTGTCACAGGACACGTCTCGTGTATTTTTCCTGTTCAGTTAAACCAACCATTTCACAGGAAAAGTTGACTGCATGCAAAACAGCAAGCAGAGCATTTCTGTAACTGCACCTTTTCCCAGAAAATAAAACAAAGATCGGTTTATTTTTAAGGTACATAATTCAAACAACTGACATTAAGGTCACCAAACACAAAACAATTGAGCGGGAAGTGTTTGATTGTGAAATGCTGATTGTTTTAACCTGCCTTTGGATTAAGAAACCCTGAACTCTACTGAAGTTCCACTAAAATCGATATATCCAGGTCAGTTTGTGACACAGTTCCTACGATCAGGAAACCAGAGGTGTCACAAAACAGCCAGCTTCTCTCTTATCTTCCTTTACAGTTTTTGTTACCGACACTGGCACGGCCATACGGGAAGTTGTGTGTTGCTAAGGAAAAGAACTGTGAATAATTGAGCAGAAAATTAGCACACTAACTGCAGTTACTGGCACAGATGGATTATGGTGCAAGCACCTTTAGTCTTAAATTTAGCTCCTGACTGGAATCAGGACAAGAAATTTGATTTAGGTGAGAAGAATTGAGTTGAGGCAAGACACTGTGTGTTGCCTTGATTCAATTTACAGTAAAACAGATGTAATTCTTTTTTTGTTTGGAGCTTTTTAACTGGCTGATACAGTGTAACATAGTCACTAAAAAGACAGAAGGTTGTTTGTCCCAGTGGGAAATTGGGAATGTAGGTTTTCTTCTTCTTTTTTTTTTCTTCCTGCATATTTGTTTAAATGTGGGTGGTTCTAATTCTGGGAACTCCAGAACTTGTTGATTTTTTTCTTCTCTTGTGTGGTGTGAAAAGAGGCACACTTTGTCCTTTGGGATTTTTTGCATCTTTTCCCTCATCTATCTAACGCCCTAACACACAATCCTGTTTATTATCTCATGCTATGGCGCTTGTTGTGGAGCTCAAAAATGAGATTCTCACAGCTTTGCAGGAATCTCGGAGGAGAAGCTCGTGCATATGGATAAGCTAGAGGGTTTTCTGGAAGAGGCACATTGTTTACGTGCAGGCTGAGGGTTGGAACAGGCTGTACCTTCCTTTCTAAGATTTTTGAGTTAAGATTGGGAAAGCAAGGGGAAAGGAGGCCCGTGGTTTGGAGCTGCTACAGAAGAATTTCCTGTCTACAGGGAGTGCCCTGCTACGAGGGGACAAAAGGAAATGCCTCGCAGAAGGACACTGGGTAGAGGATTTGGGGGCTGTGGAGCACTCTCCTGAATTATGAACCAGGGCCAGCTTATTTTCAATTCTTGTACTTTTATGATCAATACTTTGGTTGTAATAAAAACAAAAAAAACAAAACAAAAAATAATACCTGCATTATTTATGTCTGAAGACATTAAAAAACAGGGATATTCTCATTTATCTTCCTAATAAAACATATTGTACGGAGGCTGTGCAGACTGGATTCATTCTGTTTGGCTTTTTGGACACAGAATGGTTGTTACTGGAGGCCACAGACCTCAAAGTGTAGGAGTTGCACTTCTGTGAAGCAGTGTCGTGGGACAAATGTGGGATTGTTGAGACATTTGGTGAGACAAAGAAAAAAAAAAAGGCTGTAAAGGAAAAGAAACTCAGTGGCACTGAAGGGCAATGCTGCAGCTTTCTTATTAGAGGCAGAGGAATAAATGCACCTATGTGGTGGCCGAAAGATGAAAGAACACTTGTAATGCAGAACTCTCAATGAGAACACACCTGCAGGGGGAACAATGGGTTCCATTCAACACAGCCGGGGACTTGCAGCGAGTTTATTGTCCAGCTTCGTCTTGCCTGCCATGGGAGCGTTTTCTGCAAGCTCATCAAAAGCCCTTCCGTAAACACATTCGGTCAGTCCGGATCAAAGTTTCCCTTTGGGTGAGCGTTGTGTGGTGTTCAGTATCCTCCGCCATCTGTGACTGAGTCAGGCTCGCAGACATGAAGGAAAAAAGGCAACAGGAAGTGGAAATGGGGATCATATCAGGTTCTTTCAGGTAAATCCCCTCTGATCCACCTAAATGTCCCTTTCCTCTGCAGCGTACATATCGCAGGCAGGTATCGGGATCCTTATCATGACACCGACCACAAAAGCGGCAGGTCAACATTATGCTGCATGTACACACTGCATCTATCTGGAAACGTCAGGCTTACCGGCACAGTCGGGGCTCAGGTTACCTTTGTGGCATAGAGGAAGTGTGTGTTTCTACATTTGCATGCGGTGATGCAAATTAATAATCAGCTCGATATACTTTTTGCATATGAATGGAGAATCCTTTGAGGTGTGCACGCGTCTTAGCTCCAGCGAGCTCTCACTGGAGTGCATTTTAACAAGGTGTTTTCGGGAAACGGCATCTCAGACGACCAGCTTTTATGGTGTAGACAGATTTATTATCATCTGCCCAATGACATCAGCGGCTATTTCTAGGGTTTGTGGGAATCGAAAGTCCATTTTTGAGATCCAGATTATGTCACTGGCTCCCTTTGTCTCCAAGCATCTGATACTGATAAACGGACAGTGGCAGAAAAAGCAGGCAAGATGAGATAGGCGGGCAGCTCTACATCAGTCATGTTATCTGTTTGCGGTGGTTCATTATGATCTGGACCCTGGCTGCTCAGGGAAACCTGGTAGATGGGCCCTCTGCACGCAAACACGCCTGATGGTGTGGCCTCACGTGTTTACAAATGTGGGAAAATGCAGAGATCAAAGCCGTGTAGATTTTGATCAGAGATGTGATGGCTCCCCGGTCGGTGTTAATGAGCAGAGTCTTTCATACGCACCAAACTGAGACGCGCCTTCATTTGTCTGCATAATGACATGATGCCTGGCTGATTAGCTTCCTGCCTTTTCCTTCATTCAAAAACACTGGGAAAATGACACAAGCCTTCCTTTGAGCAGCTCCTTGGTTACTCTTTGGAAACATCCCGCTGTCACATGGTCGTTTGTGTGTTGCCATGTTTAGATAAATATTTTTCCTTAAACATCTTCCAGCGATCTAGGTTCACATCCTTAAACCAACGTTAACCCTTGGTTCTTATTATGTTGAAAATAGATCACAATAAACCTTCCAAATTAGAACTTCAAATAAGATGCATGCTTATCAGAGTTAATCCATTTTGAAAGTGTAATTAAATGTGATTTAGTGATTTATGCGGACGGATATGACTGATTAGCTCCATTTTATTTTACTCTCTGGGTCATGCTTCAGCATGAAAACAACTTGGCTAGAGTTGGTAGAACACTGGTTCTTCCCACATCTCATCATGCAAGATTCTGTAACTAATAGTTCATAAAGTAGGGTTTTAGCTTTTTTAAGTACAGCAAAAACAATTGCTGTGTAGGTTTGCATAAAAGTGAAACAGTTTTCTTCATAAGGAAATTAATAAAAAAAAAAACGTTTTGTTCTAACATCCCCCTAATCATAACAAATTCTCATTTAAATATACATAATTAAAAACTGTATGACCAATCATGTAATATCTATTTAAAGTGCATGCCTATGATTCAGCAAACAATATGTTCCCTGTGAATCAGCTGAAATATTTCAGTCTCTATTCTCTTCTTCATCTGAACTCAAAGTTTCCAGTTAATGATGATCTGTCATGTGCTGAACATCCACTTCGAACATAATGTGACAGGCTTAGGAAAACAATGACACACTGGTATGCCAGTCAGATGTCTTTTCTTCCATGCACAACTCCAAGACGTGAGCATTCATAATGGACTGGTTACGTATTTCCAAACTGCACATCTCTTTAATCCATTTTTATACGCTACAATCTCAAAAATGGCCATCGCCCGTCAGTGTTATGTCTGATTTGAAACAGAAAGGGCTTAAGACATTGCAGCTCAGGTGTATCAGGAGTGACTCCAGTGAGTAAGGGTCATTAACGGCTCAATATGAATTTCCTAACTCGCTGGCATAGGGCTAGAACGGAAACAGAGACATGTACCCCCATAGATTAAATTTATTAGAAGAACTGCAGACATTCCTCTTAGCTCATGACTTAATCTATTTAAACAAACATATCGAGACTAAAAAAGGCGTCTTTTTCTATTTTTCAACGCAAATGCTGTCAAAAATTAGAATGCCTAGGTCAAAGTTGGAGCAATGCAAAAGTTATAAAGCAGAAAAATCCATTATATAACAATGCAAAAATTGATATATTTTACTATGGAATGCATGTGATGGTGTAATATCGGTGCCTGATATTTTTTGGATATGAGAAGCTAAAGTTGAACTGTTCTCTGTTCTGCTTTCAGCTCTTCCCAGAAGACAGCTGTGGCAGCCATAAATAGACACCATATGGTGTGCAGAGGAAAGTGATAAATGCTGCACGTGCTGTTTGAAATCTTAGCCCTGTGCAAATGCAAATTAAGACAGAAAGTTTTAGGGCGTAAGTGTGCAGCGAAGACAGCGAGCTGGACATAAGGTGAGCAGGAAGTTGGCCAAACGAAGCTTTACTCGGGGCAGCTTGGGGGAGACGAGCTTTGAAAGGGGTTTACAGAGATAATCTTCAGGCCTTTTGCAGTTTGGTAGAACTTGTTTCCAGAGCAGAGATGTGGGAATAACAAAAGTGAATAAAGAATTTTCTCTCTGCAAAAGCCTGTTCAGCTGCCCAGAAAGGTGGAGGGTTTCTCATGCCATCCTGTGGAGGCCAGCCAGCAAAAGACGTCATGGTAACTTAAAGTGCAATGTGTTCTGCGACAACGCCTGTGCTCAGAAAAAGACTCCTTTCAGTTCTTAGTGACACACGTGTAAAATATATGAGAACATTTTTCACATTTGTAGCATAGCAGCACAGCGTGTGAACATTGTCAGGAAGTGATTACTGACTGTCAAGTCAAACAAGGAGCAAAATATTTTGACCACAGAGTGACGTTCAAACATGCTGGTAGAGGCAGGAATTGCAACTGCGTATGACGGAACAAACAGGAATTAAACTGACTGCTGTGCCAGGAAGTCTCAGTCGTATTAACCCATCAGGAAGAACTATGACATGTGAACAGATGTAAATCATTTTCGTTTCTTCCATCTCGAACAAATAAATCCTGTTTGTTTTAACAACCAAGTTTTGCATCATTCCATTTAAGTCTTGTTAAACTGGAATTATGTTAACATGGCAATGTTATCGTGGCAGATGACGTAGAAATATTAGATTTCCTCTTACCGAATGTGGTTTGTTTATAGAACACAGAACAAAAGGTGACACGTTGTTGTATTTACGGAAAATGTATGTGAAATGATGTGAAAACATATTAAAGCCACTTTCTGCTCTGTAAAGAACTAAATTAGTACTGTGTACATTTATAAAAGATGTGCAATGGATTATTTTCATTCTTCGCAATTCTTTTATTGTCATTAACTACTCACATGGTGCCATAACTGAAAGTAATAATCATAAAACAGTATTCTTTAATCTTAGAATATGACTTGGTCATATAATGTTGTAATCAATATTATATTATATTATAATCATTATAACAGCTAAGAAATAAAATTAAGTTAATCTCTTGTACCATTCCACCATGTAAGACCCAAGCATTTCTGATCAATGTGTTTGTAAACAACTACTCATATTGTATTTTTTTGTCTTTATTACATTTCTTCTTTACAAAGAAATGCACTAAAGTGTTTCCTCTGGAACTTGTAGTATTCCCAATTGCAAAGAAAAAGTTAATTCACCAACAGCACAAAGTGTAAGGGAGAGAGAAGGAAAGATGTTACCAGGAAATGAATACTGAATGACTGGAAAGCAAATGAACGCGGCCTTACCTATGGCATGAGGATGTTTTACAGTAAAAACACTGTGACTGGCAAAACAAACTGTACAAAATATTGTGACATTTAAAGACAATATTACAGACACATGACAGTAATACTAAACTAACAGGAATTAAACAGACCGATATGGTGGGAACTATCCGGCATGTCACAACCCATCAGGAACAGTTCCACATGAGAATATATCTAAATCATATTAGCTCTAGTCCTACCTTTGCCACTTTTATGTTGTGCTCTATCAAAAGTTCAACTGACTTTGAAAATGACTGCACAACATTACAAGCAACGTCAGCATGCTGTAATCCTGCATTGTGGTTTTCGTGGAGACATGCTGAGCTTAAATACAGTGTAGGGATTTTTCATTCCCATCTGTAGTGATCTTACTGGTTCTCTTTCCCTCCATTGACTCCCATTATGGACCCAGGGGAGACCTTTGAAGCTAAATAGATGCCTCACAGTGATGACACAATAGATTTTCTGGAAATAAGTGAGCAGCCCGTGTAACTTCCCCCCAAAACAACTGGTTGTCTGTATTAGACAACACCTGACTCACCTCTGAGGAGACAGCTGGATCTCACCAAAGCAGTTGCGGCTATAGCCTGTGTGTTCCTCCCTTTGCTCACGCTGAGAAGAACATAGAGAAAAAGAGATGTTTTTGTGAGAAATCTATCATTTTTGTCAAATTGTCAGGTTCTTTCTAACAGATCTCAATGTTTGATCACAAAAAAGGAGGGCAGAGCCTGGAAGAACTCCATAGCCAGGGGCAAATCCCTCATATATTAACCACCACACTCATGGTTGTCGTACTTGAGTCAGCGGGGTGGTAGCTGAGATGGTATGACCATTCTATCAGTCACATTCAGAGGGCAGGAATCATTTCAGAATGTACTTCCTTCAGCCAGCACCAAACCAGCGTCTAACCATTAGGAAATGACGATAAAAGGGAGCTTTGGGGAAAATTAAGGTCAGGAATAGAAGCAATGTCACTGCCAAACCAGCTTTAACCATTGGGAAGTGACGATTAAAGGGAGCTTTGGGGGAAACTATGGTCAGGAATAGAAGCAATATAACCACCAAAAGAGGAAAACTCCAAAAAGAACTTTTTAAACATGCAAATTTGACCTTTGGAAAGTCAGCACTTCCTCATAAATTATTCAATAATAACACCAGTTGTTAAAATGCCCCACATTCCTATTAATGAACTTCCTTTTCCCTGATATTTGATATTTGCTTTCACTATGTTAACACTTAACACAGCTTCAAAGCCCACTCTGAAAACGGCTTTTTATTCATAAGTTATTCATCCACCTGACACAAAAGAGCAAGAAACCCCGTCTTGAGTTTACTGTACACGGTGTTCAATGCCAAGTCATATCAGTAAAAAACAAAACAAACAAAAAAACAGAAGAACTGGGCTGGTTTGGTATTGCAATTTCCTATGAAGTCATTTTCCACGCAATTGTTTTAATGTCACAATGTTTGACTTTTCATACGAACAATGAGAACAAAACGAAAAAAGCGAAAAATGTTTACTCGAAAATATAACTTGGGGGCTTTAAAAACATTGCGAAAGACATTTACGGACTCGCAGCGCCGAGTAAATAACAAGCTGTTGCCCTGGGAAACGAGAAGCTTCCTGTCGAAATGGCGCCCTCTGCGGACGCCCGGGAAGCGCGTGAGCCTCTGTTCCTATGAATTTCTTAGAAACCGATTACACAGCGTAGCAAATGAATCACTGGGCTACTTGCACGCTAATCACAAAAAGCGGAACTACAGTAACTCCACAAGACATCAAACTGAGCCCAATAAGAACTGTAAGGGGCCCATTAAAAATAATCATGGGCTTTCAGTTCCTTCCATATTGATCTACGGTGCAAAAGTGTGTCGAGAGCAGAGAATAAGTTACCAAAGGTAAATAAGTACCTTTGCTTGGAACTTCGTTACATCGGGGGAACAGGGAGGGGAGGAGGTCACTTCTCATAGCAGGAATCCTAAAAGAAAAAAAAGCGCTTTACTGGAAAGAGGAGGCGGAGCTTTATAAAGAAGAGCAGTCCTCTCGGCTTCTCACTTCACATTTCTCTGGAGGGACTCTCACGGGCTGTTCCAAACAGAGCAGAAGACTAAGAGAAGCTACAGACAAAGGAAAAAACTTTCCGCAGCTCCATCGGACGCAGGACAGCTGTTGAGTGCCTTCCACCCAACAGATTGTTTGGATTTCAAACCTTTTTAGGAGGCTTTCAAGGTGAGGATCGCTTTTTTTTTTTGGGTTCACATTTGGTTAGTTTGTTTGTGGCGTAACCGGAGTTGAAAGAAAGCCCACGTAGTGTATCAGGTCTTTAACCCACTAAGGGAAAATTTGTGGAGAGAAACCAGTCGTGACATACAAGTTGAGCAACGAGGATTACGCGGCCTTTACTGGAACTGACCGTGGTGGCTCATTCCCGAGGGCTGAGCAAAAAAAAAGTTTCCCCGAAATGGCAGCAGACTTATCAAAGTCATTAAAGTTTTTTTTTCTGTTGTTTCGATTGAAAAAAGAATGTTAGGGTCACCACTAAAAATCTATAAACCAGACAAAGTAGACAGACAGAGGAGTTTTAAATGGATTCTCACTCAAAGGATGGAAAAAGCATGTTTTTGTGTTGTGCTCTTGATTTGTTTATTTACTTTTTTTTTTACTCTAAAAGTTTATGATTTGTCTTTTAAACGTACTTCCCCCTCTTCCCTCACAGGTATTCAGCCTTCGCATCGACTGAGGCCTTCTCTCCTGAAACTCGGTCTCACCTCATCTACCCCCAGTGAGCGGGCAAAAGGCCATGGTAATTCAAAGCATGTTGCCCCCCGCAAAGAGCAGCAGCACGGAGCCCGACATCCAGGTGCCTGCTCGTTTCAAGGCTTTCATGTCAAAGGCGCAGTACATGATGATCGTGTCCACGATCATGAGGCTCAAGGACTGTGGCTTTTACTGGAACGCCATCACTGGCAGGGAGGCCAATATGCTGCTGATGTCCCAGAGCCCCGGCACCTTCCTCATCCGGGACAGCACAGACAGGCGTCACCTCTTCACCCTCTGCGTCAAGACGGACTCCGGCACCAAGAACCTTCGCATCAAGTGCGACTTGGAGACTTTCTACCTGCAGACGGATCCGAAACTCGTCAAGTCTGTTGCTAAATTTAAGTGCATCCTACAGCTGGTCTCCTACTACACGCCTAAAAGCAAGTCGAAGGTGGTGACCTATATTAACGCCGATGGGGAGAAGATCCCCCTGGTACTCCTCAAGCCCTACTACTGTAACATGACTTCTCTGCAGCATCTGTGCCGGATAACGGTCAACATCCACGAGGAGGTTGCCTCTAAGAAAGACCAGCTTCCTGTTGCTGTGCAGGAGTTCCTCAACAACTATGAGGCTTCTGTTTAGTGTCGGTAAACCGATGCTCTCGTAGGGCCGAGGACTTAAGCAACATCGGAGGGGACGGAGTGGAGTCCAGCGCTTAGCTAGTGGAAAGGAGAAGACCCGTATTGCTGAGATAGAATAGTCGGATAAATAAGAATAAAAACTTTTTAAAAATAGCAGTTCTGTGATTTGGGGCAATGTAAATAGGGTGAACCCCGTAGTTATCCACAGCAGAGGTCTGATGACGTCCAGCTCACTAAAAGCTGAAGTGAGCCTCGGGGTCAGCTGTCTGCAGCGTGATGACAAACTGCTGCTGCTGCTACCCAACACGCTCCAGGTCGGCCTGCTCACACACTTAGGCCTTATCTATCTTAGGCCTTAGACGACTATCTTACTATCTAACCTTAGACCAAAAGAGCCGGACTGGATCATCTTTTCTTTTTTTTTCTTTTTTTCCTGATAACCCTGGACCTGTGCTTCACACATCCTTGAATATCCAGCTAAACCGAAGCAGGAATCCACAGACAGCGGAAACTTTAGAGAACAATGAAATGGACATCGAGGGCTTTCTGGTTGCATTTTTTTTAAACAATCAGGATAGAAAAGAGGGGAACTTTGGAGCTCTGAAGATGTGTCATTGAAACATTTGCTTCAGAGGAAGTACTTCTATACCAGATGTGCCATAGACGAGTTTTATTTGAGATAAATAGACCACTGCTAAGTTATGCCAATAAAATCAGCCCTGTGTGGCTTTAGTGGGGAGGAACTATTTCCCAGCAATGTAATATATACGAGTGCCTGTTAATGAATGTATTATATTGGGTATATTTTCTTTCCCAAAAAGGAGAGTAATTGAGATGTGTGTGATCTCTCTCTCTCTTTAAATCATGTTTACAAACTGAAAAGGGAAATCTTTTTTTGGGCTATCTTTTATAAAGATGTATTTTTGCCAGCTGAACCTTTGGCTGTGGACGCTTGAAGTTATCAGAGAACTTACATGAAGCAGTTAGAATGATACAACTTTACACTTATTTATATTTGTATAAGCATTTTGTTAATTTAAAATAAAGTGTCATTTTTGTTTGAAATCTATTTTTTCCACGTGTATCGAGTCATTTTGCGTCATTCGCTTCAGACACATGCACAGAGGCATCTGTTGTGTGTTGTCTGGCTACAGACATGGGGCCACAAGTTCATCGTACGAGTTTGTGATTTCCCCTGAATTTTATGAAGAGCCACCTTAAACCCAGATGGGAAACCACAACTCTGTGACTACAGCTTTAGAGACGCAACACAGACGTGCCTCTCCTCACTATGAAATATCAACTGCTGCATTCCCATTTCAATGACAAGTTTCCACCAAAGACACGGCGGCCTTACACTGAACAGCAGCTTCAAGAAGCTGAATTGTGTGCATTTGAAAGGCTCCCTTTTTACAAGGAAACCTCTTCACACAAAATACACCCGAATTTTGAAATAACAATCTCCTATTCTCGAGAAGCACAAGCTTTGTGCGTTGTACCTGTGTGAGTCATAGGATTCTTTGTGTGCATTGGTGTGACCTGGCAGGTTGGTACATGAACGAACACAATGACGTGGCAGTCTGGCTTTTGACATGCGAAAAAAAGTTCAGATTCTCAGTAATGTTTCCTGCTGTAACAAACACGGGGAAAATAGAAACATAAGCATGTCAGCACATAGGAAGAAACATACTGTTCCAGCTTAGTGTGGTGTGACCTGACAAGTAATTAAACTGTCATGAAACACCCTCCTTGGAATCTTGCACTTATGTCTAAGACGAGATGTTTCCTAATCTCTGATCGTCTCTGCCCTCAGAGATGAAAGACAAGGCTTCTAAAGTGGAAAAATGGTCCCTCTGCAGACTGGCTCGCATCAAGATTTTAATGCTGTGTTTAGCTTTAGGTTATTTTGGAGAAACATCCTGATGTTTAACTCTTTTAAACTACAACCAAGTGTGTGACTATCCAAATATTTTTAATCTATTTTAAAAAAAAACTTTATCAACCTGAGGCTGCTCTAATTTTGTGTCACTGTCTTTCCATAAAGTCAGGGCAGTCTTAAAACAATACAGTGAGACTGGTCAGTGATATAATCCACTTTCAGCCTGTTTTTTTCCCTTTATCACTCAGCACATATATTCCATTAGTTTCTTCCGTCTTCAGGAAGAAAAAAAAAGCTAATTTTTTCATGTATGTTTAAATTCTGGTCCACAAAACAAAATTAAAGCAAACCCAAACTTGACAAATATAGGTTTAATTATTTTCATTGGTGTTTTTGAGCCACCCATACCATGATCCCAGTGAAGCACACACTCTCCATCTCTACAATGCACTATTACAAAACTATGGCCAGGAACACATGCACCTTTACAGCCAGCATCTAAAACGATGGAGGAACGGGAATCTGCCATAACTACAAGACATAATTAACAGAAAGAGCTCCTGGTTTACCTTCTTCCCCAGAGTTCTAAACCTATTCCTCCACAAATGGGGCTTAGTGATGAGATTTTCAGGAGCATAAAAGGGTCTCTGAGGTGCCATTAGCTGCGTGATGTGAAGTCCAGAGCTATGTCTTTTTTCACAGTAATATCCCCAGAACAAACCAGAGTGGCTGTAATGATAAAGGAAATAAAAAAACACATTTATGCCTCTTCATGAATAGGATTGTTTTTTAAATGATTTATCCTCCCTTACAATGTGACGTTTTCTAAGGGAGGCCAATACTGGAACCAAAAATGTTTGTAATATCTTTTCTGATTGACTAAAAAGAAGTGGATCCATATCAATGTTTGTTATGTAGTGAAGAATACCCAAAGGTATGACCTGATGTTACCGAATAAGTGCAGACTGCTGAAGAACTGCATCATTTTGGTTTCTCCGTAAGTATCAGCACACTGTGAGGACATTACACAAAATACATCAGATTAAATGGGAAAGCAGAAGCAAACAACCAGAATGATTAAGCTTATTACTTATGAACCATTTGACCTAGTTGGTTTATTCTGAAATAGAATTACCACAGAATTTCAGAAAGGCATCATAGACGTAAATATCAGTTTGTGATACTTCAGTATCAGTAATTAGTCCGTTCTTTTGTTGAGGATAATCATAACATGCGGATGTAGCAAACTGTTCTGTAGAAATTCTCTGGTAGTGTTTGATCATGTGATTCTACAGAAAAAAGCCTCCAGGACTCAGGGCAGGGCATGTGCAATTCATAAATATTAGGTCATAGACACAGCTCCAATCATAAGGCAGTAACTTGAAACCATTACAGCTTTCATGCTTTTCTAAGGAATAAACCACATGGCCTCTGCAGCTGCATTTAGACCTGCAACACAGTTGTAAAAGATATCTGAAGTGCTTCAGTCAGCCTTCTGCCACTACAATATACTCATTTACCGTGTGAAAATCTGCTGCATTCAGAAAAAAAAAGTTTTGCAAGTATCAGAGAAGAGAGACTTATGATGGTGCAGTAAGGTGTTTATAGTTTTATTTGGATTGACATACCCACTGCTGGGAAATCCCATCCACATTACAGCCTTTGAGATCTTGAAAACTAACATGCCGGCTGTAATGATGACTTCTCCTGGAGCACAAATGACCCCAGGACAGTGAGTTTCCTGTAATTCTATGCCACAGACTACACATTGTTTGGTGCAGCAGAAATAAGTGACATCCCCAATGTTGGTGTTGAATGGCTTGTATTTCAGTGCATTGTATTTTATCTTTTGTTCAGCTGGGTTCTGTACTCTGTGCCTGAGGGAAATCCAATCAGAGTGAAAACAACTCAAACAGCAAAGGTTTTGGTTAATTGTCATCACCGCCCAAGGTCCTGCAGATCATGCCAGATGGGGAGGAGGGGGCAGAGGCATTATAAATGTTGAATCAGCTCTGGTCACATAGTTTCAACAAAAAAAGGAAGCAAAATTTGAAGAAATGTGGAGAGAAATTAGGGTGCCCTGCTGTTTTTTTTTTTCATGCACGATGCAAAGTTATATAAGCATGTCATTAGTCAATGTTTGCTATGTAAACAGCCATGTTTGTATTGCATTGCCTTTAACCTGAAACTGAACATACATTCACAAAAAACTGACCTTTTTTCATTTCTCATTATTGTTGCCTGTGATTATGTTTCTACCTTTTTTCAAACATTTGGATTCACTTAAGTTTAACTGCCCGCTTTGCTTGTTCAAGTGTGATAAAGTCAATTTTTGCTTTTGCAAGCCTGGCATTTATCTCATCGTCAAGTGAGAAGATTTGCATAAGGGTATTTCAAGAAAATGCAAGCACAAAAAGATCTGCACTAACAGCTGAGTACTGTACTAAGGTTGTGTGTGTGTGTGGGACGGGAAGATATTTTACCCAACTTGCTTTTCGTGATTTCCGCACGCGCAAATAGATGTCTGACGTGTTGGAGCCTTTGACTGCACTGTGGAGCCTGAAATCCCTCTCATCTTTCCAGTCTCTTAATCTGTTTACAATTCCGCAACTGCTGGTTGCCATGGTGCTGTACTCAATGAGCTCCAGATGCCAGATGTCTGAGCCAACCAGAGAAAAGCTGTGAGTCATCACAAACCGCAAATCCCTCCCCTCTCCAACACACTCACCCTGCTCTTCCTCCAAATCTCCAGATTTACTGTCAGCAATCCACTTCCCTGAGCTCTGCCACTCTGCCTGGTAGCTATAATACCGTAAATCAGCACCACCTGGTTCAGGTCATTCTTTGATCCCAAACGTGGACAGTTATTGGACAGAGTGTTATTGTCCCCGCTCTTTAATTCTTCTAGAAATGTGGTTTTGAGTAGAAAAAAAAAGATAAAGCAGGATGTGAGAAAATGAGAAATAAATTCATACACAAGCCATTGGCTGTACTGGGCGGACTTGTACACAAGCATTGCTAGCAGTTTTCAGAATGGTAACGTTTGTTTCACCAAACCACTTATCTAAGGACAAAAAATGAGAGAGAACAAAACTTGCTTATCTCTAAAGTGGTGAGGTTGAGTAGATAGTATACGTTTGTAGTGAAATCCACAAACATTAGATATACTTTTTTTCAAAACAATATTTCTTAAACCTCTCTTGCATTATGTAATCGGTTTCAGACAAACAGGCCTCACTAATCAATATTGAGGACTTAATGCATTTATTTTGCATTGAATTCCCTTAGGTTTCAACAGCTGGAAACATCTGCTGGGAATGTCAGTGCTAAACAATCACACAGATGCCTGTTTGACTTCTTTTATAATGAACTTAATGTTCGGAAACTATTCATATGTTTTCTTTTGTAGTAATATCCCATCCTCCTACACAAAAGCCACATCCTGGTAACATGCGTGTGTCCAGGTGATGGTACGATTCACCTCTGCAGCAGTGCTACTCAGCCGTATTGCACCGGTTAAGGCATGTTTGAAAGAAAAATGGACGCTTTGCTTAGTAAGATCATTTACAATAAAGGTGATGAGGATACACAACTACTCCTCTTTCCCAAAGTCACCACTTTTTATTTCTCTTCTACACTTACGGAAAGCATTTCTTTGTCAATACCAGGCAGATACCAAATGTAAACAATGTCAGCTGAAAAGAAATCCCAAACACTCTCTCGCTCTGCCGGGAAACTCCCTCTGATTCACAGCCTCGTGAAGCAACCCATTGTGATAGTAGGCTGTCCCACAGTGAAATGCGTATGATAGGCGCTCTCTTACGGCACGACATACCTCCCCACACTGTGCAGACAGTCGTCATTGGCAACGGCGCAGAAAAAACAAGCAAAGCAGTCACATCAGAGCCATACGAGTGGCATGAAAAAATCAAATCAGGCGATCAAGCAGCGCTGAAGAGAGAAAGAAAGACGGAAAACTGTGCGGGAGTTGCTGTCATCTGTTCTGGTGCTACCCTGACTCACTTCCTTATCTTGTCTGATGGTGAAAAAATCTGTAAAGATTTGTCACACGGTCAAACTATTTCACTATAATGAAGCCACCACACACTTTTATCTCCCTGTTGTAGCAACGGTTGGGGAAATACTGAAATGTAAAACTCTTGATAGGCAAAGATCATTAGTGGATGGCA